CGATCCGACTCCTCCCGCAGCTGCTCTGGGGATGGTGGGTCGGGCACACGGGGCAGCCGGGCATCCCCCCATCCCGCCGCCCATGCGATAACTAGGGCACGGTCGCCTGTTTCCATGGCTCCAGCTGCAGCCTGGCACCGTGGGGCCGGGGGATTTCCTGCCAAGGGGACGCAGAGGAAGGCAGGGACCCGTTGCTTAGCAGCCAGAACTCCTCCCGCAGCTGCTCTGGGGATGGTGGGTCGGGCACACGGGGCAGCCGGGCATCCCCCCATCCCGCCGCCCATGCGATAACTAGGGCACGGTCGCCTGTTTCCATGGCTCCAGCTGCAGCCTGGCACCGTGGGGCCGGGGGATTTCCTGCCAAGGGGACGCAGAGGAAGGCAGGGACCCGTTGCTTAGCAGCCAGAGGCAGGAGAGCAGTGAGCCCAGGGGATGAAGGCAGCTGGACCGTGCGAAGGGCGGGGCCAGGAGGGATGAGCAGAGAGAGAATGAAAAGGTCCGGGGAGGAAATGGGGAAGGGGAAGTAGCTGATTTGGGGGGCCCATGTGGAGCGGAAGGCAGGGAATTCATGGTGCTCTTATTGCTGGAGGGGAGTGAGACGGGTTGTATGGGGGAGACGTAACGCCAACCTGTGGAACTCCTTGCCAGAGGATGTTGTGAAAGCCAGGACTTTAACGGGGTTCAAAAAAGAGCTACAGGTTGGACCTCCCTGGTCTGGCACCCTCTGGACCTGACTGGTCCTGGACGAGGGATTTTTCTGGACCAGGGAAGGTTATTTCAGGGCCCCTCTGATGTCCCATCCCCACTTCCTGGCTCCCCCTGCAGCTCACCTCGCAGCCTAGCTGAGCTGTGCAGGCTCCCTGCCTCCCGCCCAGCCCAGCTGAACTATGCACCTGGACCCCCGCCCCCCTGCAGCGCTCCCGGACTCTGGTCATGCCAGACCACGGATGCTGCCAACAGAAAATCCCAGATTCCAGAGGTGCGACCTGGCGATAAATTCCCGGAGGTTCGGTCCGTCGGTGGCGATTGGCCAGGCTGGGCAGGGATGTCGTCCCCGGCCTGTTTGCCAGGCCGACGGCAGTCGACAATTCCCTGTTCTGCTCACCCCCTCTGGGGCCCCGGCAGGCTTCCGGCTCAGATTTTCCATCCGTGAGCAGAGGGAGTTGTGCCTCGTGCGCCAATGAAGTCGTGTGCGCTCGCTCGGACGCCTGGCACCGCCCGGGATAACAAACCCTGCACCCACCACCCCGAAATCCACCCAGCTCGCTGGCTCCCGCCCCAACCCACACTGTGGGGCCCCCAGCCCGGCCCCCCCGGC